GCCTTCCTGTAGTCAGTGCCGCTTGTGTGTGCTCCAGCCCTTCTTGTGTGTAAGCACTGCTCTTGATGTTGCTCAAACTGTGCTTAGCAAAGTACGGAGAATGAACTGCGTGCCTTGAGTGTAGCTCTGAAGGATGTGGACCTGTTGGAGCGAGTCCAGAGCAGGGCCACGAAGAAGATGAGAGGGCTGGAGCACCTCTCCTGTCAAGATAGGCTGAGAGAGTTGGGCTTGTTCATCCTGGAGAAGGCTTGGGAAGACCTTAAAGCAGCCTTCCAGGATCTAAAGGGAGGGCTTATGAGAAAGCTGGAAAGTGACTTTTTACAAGCGCATGTAGTGATAGGACAAGGGGGAATGGCTTTAAATTAAAAGAGGGTAGATTTAGGTTAGTAAGAATTACCTTACTGTGAGGGTGGGGAGGCACACATACAGGTTGCCCAGAGAAGCTGTGGTTGCCCCATCCCTGGCAGTGTTCAAGGCCAGGTTGGATGGAGCTTTGAGCAACTGGTCTAGTGGAAGGTGTCCTTGCCTGTGGCAGGGGGTGGAAGTAGATGTTCTTTAAGATCTCTTCCAACCCAAACTGTTTAGTGATGCTTAGGGCTGAGGTTAAAAGTCTGTGATGCTCTGCCAGTCATGAATACCAAGACACAGGGTTTCACTTCAGTGCCTGCTTTCTGACATCCTCATTATTCAACTCATAACTTTCTTTTCTTGTGTGTTTCAGGCTATTCTAATTTTCTGTTGGGTTTATGTGCGCAAGTATCAGAGTCGGAGGGAAAGTGAAGTGATTTCCACCATAACAGCTATCTTTGCACTGGCGGTCGCTCTTATCTCGTCAGCGCTACTACCAGTGGATATCTTCTTGGTTTCATATATGAAAAATCAAAATGGTACATTTAAGGTATGGACTTTAAAAAATGTTAACTGCCTCTTCAGAAGAAGTACTTATGTTGAAAAGGGATATTTTTGGGTTGACAAAGTGTTTTAAGCCAATGCAGCACCTGATCTAGTGCCTGAGTATTTTGGAAAGCTGGAAACTAGTACTGTGAAAACAACACTGAGCTTTGTTTGTTATTTGAACTGGATTTCAGTTTTCATTTCTATTATCTATTTTTGATGATCTACTATTTCCAAATGCTTATACCTTCTGTTGTGTTAAGAGGTGTGTGGAGGCTGTCCTGAAAATATAAATGTATCTCTTAAATGTTGCTTTTTAGTACTTCATAGTGGAACATGGTAGAATAATGCAATTTGTTGCTTCTTTGCTCAAAACCAGATTGCATCACCCATTTGAAGCTTAAAAATATTTTAGTTTTCTTTTTTGCCAGAATTCTCTTATTGTGGTAGTGAAACATTGGGACTTATAAAGACTTACTGTGTTAATCTACCTGTAGTCTAAAGCCTGAGTTAATAAGCACTTTTTTAAAGAGGGAAAGCTGGAACAATGCCTGGGGAAGGGGAATACAGTAATATCTTTTCTTGGCTGATAGGGCCTGAACTGAACTGTTTTTGTAAGCTTAAGCTTTAGGGAGTTGCTGTGCAAAATGAGTTCTTAATGGGATGAGTACTTGCTGTAGTGTTCTGTAAGCCTTTCTGAAAGTAAGAGTTCTTCCCAGTGCTTAAAGTTTCAGCCTTTTTAATTTTTGAGGAGGGTTCTTGAAGGTAGTAACTTTGTGAGGACACCACCATTAGAAATAGGTCAAACTGGAGCATATTAATGACTTGCATAACAGCTCAGTTTGGTTTGGAGCCTACCTGGATGTGTAGTGAAAGATGTGATCCTGGAACAAATGAGAGAGTGGGCAGATGGTAGATGCCTGTACATTAAACTAAAAGACTGTGTTTCTTTCCAGTCCTACTTCCAAAGGAAAACCTAGCTCCTGCTAGATCCTTCATAGAGCTTTAGAACTAGCTTGCAGACAATGCAGTGCCTTTTTGGCTGGTGCTCATGTAAATGCAAGTCATAAGAAGCTTTTGGAAATGAGCTGTGTCATGATTCTTAGGATGTTTGTTACTCAGTAGTAATACAGAACAAATTAAGCTTTTGCTTAATGCTGTTATTAAAAGCTTATGTATTCAGACCTTGTTTCTTCAGAATTAAAATGGATGTAGGAAGTGGAAGAAACCTTTTGTAAGTCATGACACTAGCAGTTCAATGAGAATAAAGCTACATATTAAGAAATACACTGAGCATGACTAGCTAGAGAATAAACAATGGTGTAACTAGGCCTAGGTGAAAAAGTGTATCTGCTGGGGACCAAGTAGAATTTCCTGTTGCAAAGGAGACCTATTTTGTTAATGTATGCATTCCCTGATTTGAGAAACAAACCTGTGAGGAGAATAGGAGGCCAAATAGGGTCATGTCATCCCTACAACCATACAGGAAGTATGTTTAATAGAAGAGAAACTACTGTACTTGAAGTACTGCTTTACTTGTGCTGGGGTGCGTAGATTCTGTTTAAAAATCATACCTGAAAGCAAGCTCTTATGCTGGTGATAAAGCTTTTCTTCAAAGTACGTTTTTGCCTATGCTTCTGAGGCTTCTTGGTCCTGCTTAATTCCTAGTGTTTGTAGATGCTGCTCTTGGCCTGTTGAAATAAAATTGCTGCATGCTACCTTGCAGGAGATTTTCTTTTTCTTTTTTTTTTTTTTTTTTTTTTTCTTTACTCTTAAGGCTCAGATGAATGCATTTTTAGCTTTGCAGCAATAGCATGAGAACTGATATTAATATTTTTGTACAGCACAAGTGTTGAAACTGGTGCAGAAATATTAATGTAGCCTTTCTGATAAAGTTGAGTTAAGTCAATCAGAACACACAAACCTATACGTAAACACACAGTTTACTGATTCGGTAATCTCAGTTTAGGAATAATGTCAAGTTAGGAGGTTCACAGCATCTAAATGTGAAATCTTCATGAATTGTTGAATCTTTTAACTATGTCCTGTGTTAACAGGCTTTTTTTCCCTGCTAGTGCTTCACAAGTAGGATGGACTGGATTGGGTTCAGAAAATTTCCAAGAGACTACTACCCTTTTCCTGGACCATTCTTTCAAGCTCAGCACGTTCAAGGCCCTATATCTGATCTGGGGTCTGAAGGACTGTGACTCTGGCAAGAATACTTTGGTTTTGTATGGCCAGAATGAGTAAGTCTTCTCTAGATGATTCTTCTCAGTGAATTTTTGAGGCTAATCCAGGTAGCAGATGTGGATAATGTTCTCTGTAGATAAATCATTAGCTCATCTAAAAACCTTCCAACTGGATTATTCCAGAGCTGATGCCAGAAGAGTAGTGGCAGTTATCCAGACCATAGGTAAACACTTTTTTTGCTGTACATACTCTTTTCCTCTACCTCTCCCAACTGTAATTCCCTGTGTCAGTGTTAGAGAGAAGAGAAAGTCAAGGATGCTCAGCTTATAAGGAAGTGGTGCTATATTTAGACTTTCAGTTCATTTTTAATGCATCTGACCCTACTATCAATTTGCAGATATTCTTGAGGCTTTTCTGTGAACAAACTTTGTAAAGCATGTTATGTTAATAGTAGAGATTAAATTGAATGCACAGTCTTATGGTTCAAAGTTCTCATTGCGATTTGTGTGTTCAGTGGCAAGTAAAGGTGTGTGTCCTGGCAACAAGGATTAGTTTAACTGTCTGAAGTGAGATACTCGGGCAGATTATCTTTCTGTGAAGGCTGTCAAAATGATGCTGCTTTTTGAGTTTACTTAAAGCAGTGTTGTGTAGCTCATTTCCATCATGTGGATTTTTCTGAGGTGTTATCTTTGACAAGGGCCATATAGTATACCTTGGTCAGCCTTTGTTAACCTTGAGGTCCTGTCCATTTCGACAGAACTGTTGAACTTAACATACTGTTTCTACATCTTTCAATTAAGAACATGTTTTCTTTGCTATAAACAAGTGGCTTCTGGCATTTGGTACCTGTTGGTCTCACTGTATTTTGTGAGATTTAACAAATACTATCTTAAAGCTTTAATAATGAGTTGAGCAGTTTTGATATTAGGTTTTGCATAAGTAGTCCTGTAGTAGGAGCAGTGGGTTCATGGTCATTATTCCTGTGTACGACAACAGCTTTTCTGGAGGGTGGCATTACTTTGATTCATTGTGCTGTTAAGTAGGAAAGCAGGCTTTTGGTTCTAGTACTAATCAAAAGAACTTGAGTATTATTTTGCAAGTGAAGTCCTGATAATATTCACCAGAACCACTTCTATCTTGAAGGTTTTGGCTGTTTCCATTGACAGTGCTTTAATTTGTGCAGTGGACTTCAAATACATCCAGTTGGATGTCATCTGTTTGATCTGAAAGCTTGTTTGACTTATAACAAGCACTTAGGAACAGAAAACCTTACGCTAGCTTAAAGACTTAAGATTGCTGCTGGAACCCAAGACCTCTGGGTCTGACCTACAAGTCTCATAACACAGCTGATCCTGTCTTGCAGCAGGAAGGCTGCTTGAAGCAAGGATGTTATCACCATGCTGTTTTGGTTTTATTTTTTTAATCTATTGTTGATGTGGCAGAAGACAGGGGAGGTGATGAGAATTTTTCTGTTTGAAATGTATGGATTCTTGCTACTCTATGAAGCTAAACCAATGATATTTCTTTCAGTCTGGTTAGGCTGGACACCTGATAAACCTAGTGTGTCTGCCTGAGCTATTAAAAGCCAGTTGTCTCCTTAATAATTCAAGGAGTAATGTCTGTTTAATGAGATCCTTTTTGCAGATCATTCTATTAAGATTTGGTGGTTTTATGTAGCTGCTCAAAATACAGAATCACTAGATCTGTCAGATGTTTTTATTCTAGGAAGGTGTTAGCTGAGACTGAGACCATGCTTCTTGTCCTGAGGGGGAATTACTAATTGTGAAGTAGCAATACTTGGCCAGATGTGGCTGAGATATGCATGGAGAATGTTATTCTCCATCTGGTGGTCACAATCCTGGCTTTGTCCCATTTTGGAGGTAATAGGCTGGAAGATCTGAGACACGGATATGAAACTTCTTCATATCTAACCATTCTGTGACCCACTCACCAGTCTTTGGTATTGCGTCTTTCTTTTGTTGGCTAACCTTTGGAACAGGCTGATCAGCAGAATAACTGCTTCATCTACATCTGACGAAACATCAGACATTGAAATCTGGCATGTTACATCACTTTAGGATGTATTAAGGTACATTTGCAGAGACTGGGAACCATCTTCACTGGGTGCTCATGAAATTCTTGCAGAGTCCTTTAGTGACAGTAGGAATATCTGCTTTAAGAGGGACAAAAGAATTAAATTCATGGCTTCCCTCACCAAAATATGAGGAAGGTAAAAAGAGTCAGATTAGCTTGTACTGCTTTCATTTGGGGAACTTACCTGTACAGTTGAAATACGTTAATCTAAGTCATGAACTGGACATAGCTGCTGGGAGAAGGAAGACTCTGCACAATGATTATTGGGGAAAGCAAGTGAATCATAACTGTTTTCCTATGAATGTAATTATAAAATTAATCTTCTGAGGGAGCTTTGCTTTCATTTAACATTTAGGTAAACGGAAATGTCTTTAACTGCCTTTTTTATATCTTTATATAGCAACATTTTATCAATATATTTAGTTTTTACACTTGCAACTCTATTTAAATTTCTTGACTCCATCAACACGGCTTGTGTTCAGAAATCCTTGAGAGTAATACATCAATCTAGGCCATCATACTTGTACATATCCCTGCAAATTGTTGGTTCCCTTATCTATTGATGCAATGCATTGGTACAGGTATTTTAAAGGTGATAGGATGTATGCTTGCTAAACTGCATGGAACAGAACAAAGTACAGCAGAACAGTGCAGAATGCCTGAATTCTACAGATCTTAAGAGAATTTATGGTCACATTTCTGCATCTTAAACTGCTGTTGAAGGCAGTAATGAATTCTCACCTTCCTAGTCTATTGTGCTTCTATGGTATTTGCTGTATATATTGTAGGCTTGGGCCGTAATGGGGGAAGAAGAAAACAGAGTAGACATTGACGCTGTCCAGATGAGTTCTCAACTGAGTCCTGGATATGTGTGTCCAGTAAACTCATACCTATCAACCTGAGATTACCAGCACTGCTGCTGAGAATGTCAGAGCTCTGACACTCACTAGGTAGTTCTTTTTGCTTTTGACAAAGATAGTGCTGCTGTCACAAGCTTTTTGAAGCAGCTCAGATGAACTGGTTGACTGCTTTTGAGATGCTGATGATGTGTGCATATGGATAATTTGTCAGTAAGAATAAGGATTTTTACCTTAATTTGTGTAAATGCATGGCTTCAGCAGCTGACTGAAAGCTGACATAATAGATATGATATACTATTAACTTGGCTTGCATTGCAGATTTCTTGTTCAGAGTAATGTGAAGTTTGTAAGTTCAGGCATATATACACAATGGTGAAATGCACACATGTTTATCTTTTAATGCAAGATAACATCTCAATATTTTAATATGCTGTAATATATGTTTCCTAGTATATTACTCAGTCTTGTAGACAACTTAATTTGAGCAACAAAATGAAAAGTAATTGGTATGTTTTAAAGATTTACATCTGTATCCTGTTATAAGTGTTAATTAGTAAATCCTTTTTCTGGAGTTGAAGTATCCTTTTGGCACTTAAGACCTGTTGTATTTCAGTTACTAGCTACCTCTTCCTGTAAAGTGGCTGTGACACTTAAACTTCAGGTCTTATTGCTGCTTTTCTTGCTTATTTGTGGTTGGTGTGGGTTTTGAATGTCTCTTCTTTGCTCATTGGAGAGATCTTCTTTGAATGCTTACTTGGAAGTAAATAGTGCCACCTGTTCAGTTCAGTCTTGCTTTTCCCTTAAGAATAATTAAAGTGGTGCATTTCCATATTTTTTAACAGGAGGGAATTTAAACAGTTTAATATTCTGTGTATGTGTTCTTAAGATCAAATTCTTTTGTGGTGTATTTTCATACAAATGGCTAAAAATTTTTCAGTTGAAATGCTGTTGTGCTTGAGCCTGTCAGTCTTCGAAGGTTGGGCTTATTGTATACCTGACAGATACTTAAGGTGTTGCTTTTGTCCCTTCTGCCAAAGTATTTTTAATACCTTCTTTTTGCGGATTAGATGACAAAATGCATGTATAATTTTCTACTCAAATTTCAGTTGAATGCTAATATGATTTATTTCAGACATTGAACTTTAAAAGCTCAATGTAAAGTGACCTATTGGAAATCTCGTAATATATAAACACAAAGGAAGGTGATGCTGATTTTTTTTTTTTTCTGACATAGCAGAAAAATGAGGTGTTCATGGTATGTCATCAAGCCTGTATTCTGTTGCAGTTTAGGCAGTTCTGAGTGAACTGATAAAGCAAGAATTAAACATCTTTGAGTCTTACCATGTGTGCTCTTTAAAGAGTATGCTAGCATATTTCATATGCTCTGTATTAGTTAGTGCATGTGTCTTTACAGCAACTGAAAGGACTTGAATTTATTGATTTGAAAAAAGCCTACACATAGAAATTGAAAGGAGTTTTGACAATACTGGACCTTTTCTTTTCTCACCAATTCAGTTATGTTGGCATGTCTCCAAAATTGTTAGCTTTTGAAGAATTTTCCTTCTGGATAACCACTTTTGATCTTGTCTACATGTAGATTGGGCCACACAAGACTTGAACAATTATGGACTATGTTTAAGTTGTACAGGCAGGCTTGGACCTCTGGAGTCAATCCCTGAGTTTGGCTGCCAATAATCATGTTACAAAACGTTTAGCTTCCTTAAACCCAAGAGTTCATCTTAAGAAGAAGAAAAAAAGAGATGGCAAATAACTTGACTTCAGCCTTCTGGCTGGGTGCAATTACCAATGTAGTTGAAGTTTTTTCACTTCCATTCTCTGAGCAGTTTGCCGGGACTGAGTAACACAGTTCTGGAAAAATACGAGAGTTTGCTCTTGTTCACATAATGAATATCAATGTTATATTTGGGATGTTACGTGATCTAAATCCTGACATGATTTGATGGGTCTCTCTGTGGTAAGATTTGAGAGATACTACTCTGCTAATTTCTGTTAAGAATTATGGCTTCTTGATCAGCATGTGACTTTGTACAATAACTTCAAGAAAATAGTCTGCCCTTCGTATTATGTAAAGAGCTTCAGTGTTTAGGCCAGAAACTCAAGGCACACTGTTAGTGTCTAAGCTGTGCTAATGTGCATAATATCAAGTAATGCAGTAAGGTTTAATTTTAATGCCTAGTTTACGGTACCGTTTGCTGAAGGTAACTTGAATATTCTTGTAATGCAAGTCTTGGTCAAACTAGAAAGTAAAGGCTTATTGTCCTGAAAAAGAAGATGATGGCTTAAACTGGATGGATAGCTAATAAAAATACAAGTTTGTAAGCTACAACTGAGCCTAACAAAAAGTTATTTGCCATGCTTATACTTAAATAGCATTGCATCTGTATATATAGATTTTAGTCATAAGTATTCTGTGATAGAAATGCTGTGTGCATTATGTGTACTGTGTGCAGGTCTGTGACCCACCATACAAGGAAGACATGGAACTGTGAAAGCAAGGCCACAGTAATGGTCAGGGAGTTGGAGCATATCTCCTATGAAGAAAGGCTGATAGAGTTGGGGTTGTTCGGTCTGGAGGGTGGTGAGGCACTGGAACAGTTTACCCAGAGGAGTTGTGGATGCCCCATCCATGGAAGTATTCAAGATCAGGTGGGACTGGAATTGTTAGTAGAAGGTGTCTCACCACATGGTAGGGGGTGTTGGGCTACATGATTTCTGATGGTTTCTTCCAGCCCAAACCATTCTGTTATCAAGCTGAAACAACTCTGTTCTTTCTGGTCCGTAGAATCTTTCTATTATGAAACTCTCCTGTGTTTATTCCTGTGTACTCAGTTACTGTTTTCACCTTTTGCTAGCACTATGTAGCCAGTAATTTTTTAGAAGCAGCATTTTTATATCTTATCTCTCTGTGTTTGTGTTCTTTAATGAGCGATTCTCTTGTAGTGTTGCCAAATACAGTAGTAATGGGAAGTGAATCACTGTAGAGATTCTCAGAGGAATATGGGTCTTAATACATTACTCATCTAGACTTACATGCTTGAAAAATAAATGTTTGATACCTTAGAGCCTTCAGTACAGAATTATTCCTTGTAAATCAAAGTCCTAACAAAGCCAATTCTGATACTTATCAAATACTGTGTATTTGACTTTGCCCTTTCTATCGAGTTGGATCTAGAAAACACTTTTTTCTTACCTGACATTTTCTAGAAAATGTTTCCAAACTCTAGTTTGGCTGAAAGTCAGTAATATCGATATCAGCTTCAAGGGACATCTTGGGGCTGCTCTTTTAGCAATTCCCAGTGTCAGCTTTACTGATGTAAAACTAATGCTTTTTTGATTGGGAGAGATTGACTTCAAAACAAGTGGATCCTTGCCTTGATTGGGTTCCTCCATTAATACTTTCCACATGCTTATTTTCTGAGGAGTTGCAAAGTAGATGTAAGCATGTTAATTATGAAATCAAATGCATCCAAGTGCTGGGCTGGACAACTCGAACAGCTTAGCTGTTGGTGTAGTGCATTAGAAAAGACTGCACAGCTTCCAAGCCTATTATATGCTCGGTTTTATAAAGACTCATCTTGAGGAGAGCTTTGTCCTGCAAGGACTTGGCTTTGAAGCTCAGTGTCCATCCACTGCAGTGCTCAGAATAAAAAAAAAAAAAACAAACAACACACAAAACCAAAACAACCTCCTAGAACTGCAAATAACTGTACCTTCAGTTGTCTTTCACAAAACATTTTGAAAAACTGTTCAGATTGAGCTTCAGACTCAGTAGCTGCATTGTCTGATCTGTAGGAAAAAAGTTCCGTAAAAACAGCTATTAAGAGACCCCTTAAATACTAAGTGCAGAACAAAAGTGAGTTATTAGCTGCTAAAAATTAACTAATAATTTTATTTTAGTTTTGTATTGATAATGTAATTTATGATAACTAAAGATTCTTAATCTGGGGAAAAAAGCTTTAAAGGTACAAGGCTAACAGAGTATAAGCAGTGGGGATACTACTGCAGTGTCTGTCCTTTGAAATGCATCACATTTTCTGAATTGTCATTGGTAAGTAATTACCTCTAACTTAAATTCTAATACAAACTGCGTGCTTAATGTTTTTCCTTAGGTATTTGGTATAAGCAGTGGTTTTGATTCTTTAAGAATGCTACTGAATGAAGCATTCTTTTGTTTAATTTGATAGTTAATGCTTCTATCCTTTATTACTAGGACTGGGCTGATGCTAATGTTTCAAGACAAATTGAAGACACTGTACTTTATGGATACTACAGTAAGTATTTTAACTTCTAATTCTTTTATTTGCTACTCAATTAATAGGACCTTTAAGTGAAGGCATGAAGTTTTGAGGGGTCATACTGAATTATCCCTTTTGGTTAAACATTAGTCTTACATGACTTTGTTTAAATATGAAGTCTTAGTGCTCTTCAATGTTTTTTGTTTTTTGGGTTTTTTTATGTTCAAGAGCCCCCTAAAAATGCAAATATGCTGAAGGCCAGTTAAAGAATTGCCTATAGCCTGCTAGTGATAGTGACAGAAACCAGAATGTGCAGTTTCATGCTGAGTGAAGTGTAAAGCCAAAAGTAGTAGGAAACTTGGTTTTGAAAAGGAACTTTTAAAATACTGTTTTATCTTCATCTAAGATTCTTCACTACAGAATAGGAGAACTGCTTTGTATTAGCTTTTCATTTTTGTTAGGTTGCTACAGTCTTGTTTAACAGCTCAAGCATTTCATGAATCTTAACGTGGAACCGTGTTCAAACTCTTCTGTGAACCATTTTCTATAGATTTGTGAGACTGATGGATGAACTTCCATGAGATGTTTTGGATTGAGTCTCTTTTTAAAGCAAGATGTCCCTCGGTAAATCCTGAACTAATTTTTGGAACAGATTTGAGTTTAAAAAAAAAAAAAAACAAAAAAAAAACAACCAAAAAAAAACCGAACCCCAAAACCAACAAAACCTGCTGTTGTTTTTGGCCTGTCTGCACAGGTCTACTTGAAATATTGTAGGACTAATGTTTTATTCCATAGCATATCCTCCAGATGGTGGTAGAGATTTAAAGATGTTTTTAACAGTATTTTTCTTTTGTGATCTTAATTTGAGGAATTGATGCATGTTTTTATAACTAGAGCGACACTGAAGTGAACAGTAATAGGTAACTTATCTTTCAGAAGTCTCCATCATTCCTATATAATAGGACAACTTAATGGCTATCCTGCATCATTAGGCCTAGACCCCTCCTGCTGTTACACAGCATAGTGACATGAAAGCTGAGAAGGAACAAGTTTAACAACTCTTCCAGTCTTATAATACTATTCTTTTTTTTTCCTACTTGTATCCTCTTAGAAAAGTATTTGGTCTCTCAATAAATAGGCTGAGGAGAACTGAAATCTCCCATTCTACTTAAGAATGTGATTACCAGTAATTTATCTCTCCTGAAAACACAGTGATAATTATGTAGATCTTTGCCCTCTGTAGCTATAATGGCAACTTACAGTATAAATAATTGGTACACTTAGGTGACAGTCCTTCACAATCCATGCCACTTCTAATTGTAGCAAGAATTTGGAGGCTATGGTTTAACTAATGTTTTAGAATGGTGAGGATTACTACCTCTATTGCAATATACTGAGAAAGCTGTCACAAAATGTAGAAGAACTCCCCCCCCTCCAAGTTGTTATTCCACATGAACAATGTTCTCTCTCACGCCCAGCTGGTTTCTGGGCTAGACTCATACAGAAGTAGAATGGCTTTGTACTAGTAGAATGATAAATGAGGTAACTTTTTCAGAACAAATCTTGAAATAACTGTATTTTGAAGGGGGACTTCAGTAGCCTAAAAGCTTTACTTAGGAAACCAGTCTGTGATTGCTTTGAAGCCATAGTGGCTTAGTGTGTTAATTCTTATAAAGCCAACTGTAGCAGAACATATCTGCCAGTACTTGAGTGACTGAAGAATGATCAGTGGTTGGCAGATGCTTTAAAACAGCGTGTCAGCTTGTGTTTGGAAGAAAACCCTTTTCAGAAAGGGTTATAATTGAAAACTGTCCAACGGTAGTTTCCTCTGCACCACAAAGAATGGGGCTGAAACAATTGACAGTGACCTGGTGCTGTGTTCTGTAGCTCTTCTTCCTCTAATAAGTAAATCCTACTTGCTGGAATCGCCTTGATGTTCCGTGTCCTTTGGTGAAGATTTGTGAATGGTGAAAGGATGCCATTGGTAGATTCCAGTTTTCCTGTGAGGCAGACAGATCTCTCGACCTGCATGTGTTAAGTGTTTCCAAACTGCAGTGTGGCAAGGACTGTCTGTTAAATTCTATGGAAGTCTCTACATGTGTGCTTTAAATTCAGTGCTAAACTTCTAATTTTTAATATCTCTATTTCTTAAATAGAACTGTTTTCTGAAATCAGCAGTTACTGATGTAACTTGGATGATTTTTGCATGGACTTTTATCTGCTTGCTGCAAGTGTTTGATTCTGAGTCATTAAAACAAGGACTTGGGCTTCTAGGCATTAGTAGGCGCAAGTCAAATGTGGCTATGTGTTTTCATAGTTTGGACCTAGGAGGAGGCGTGCTAAATACTGTTGAAGACTTGCATAGCTGTACTTGACAAATATTGTGGAGCTACATAGAATCATAGAATAGTTAAGGTTGGAAAGGACCTTAAGATCATCTAGTTCCAACCCCCATGCCACGAGCAGGGACACCACACACTGAACTATGTTGCCAAAGGCTCTGTCCAGCCTGGCCTTGAACACCTCCAGGGCTGGAGCATTCACAACTTCCTTGGGCAACCTATTCCAGTGCCTCACCACCCTCACTGTGAAGAACTTCTTCCTTATGTCTAACCTAGAGTTCCCCTGTTTAAGTTTAAAGCCATTACCCCTTGTCCTACCACTAGTCCCTAATGAAGAGTCCCTCCCCAGCATCCTTGTAGGACCCCTTCAGATACTGGAAGGCTGCTATGAGGTCTCCACACAGCCTTGTCTTTTCCAGGCTGAACAGCCCCAACTTTCTCAGCCTGTCTTCATACGGGGGGTGCTCCAGTCCTCTTATCATCCTCGTGGCCCTCCTCTGGACTTGCTCCAACAGCTCCATGTCCTTTTTATGTTGAGGACACCAGAACTGGACACAATACTCCAAGTGGGGTCTCACAAGAGCAGAGTAGAGGGGCAGGATCGCTTCCTTTGACCTGCTGGTCAAATCTATAGAAACTCTTCTAATAAGCATGATGATTGGAAGATGTCAATTACCGGGTCTAACTTTCTGTAGTTAGGGTGTATTTTTTATTGATGTGATGCAAAACAGCTGAAAATAAATAATTTTGACTTAAGAATTCCTTTCCAAGGTGAAGAATTTCTTTGTTTTCTTAAAACAAACCAACCTTACCAAGGAATTCTTGCTGAAGATTGCTTAGACTTTGTGGCAGGAACCATTGTTGTACTCGCTATACAGTGAAGCACTTCCCAGTGGTAGTGCTTCAAACTTCTGATACAACCCAGAAAAATGCTTTGAAACAAAAGTTGGACCTCTGAACCAGAGCAAAGAGCAGTCCTTGATTTAGAACTAAAGTCCACAGAAGTGTAATAATAGCTGAGACAGTCTGTCGTGTCACAGGGGTGTTAGAGGGAAGGGAATATCTTTGTCACTTGGTTGACTGGCTGTTTGCTACTGCATGATCTTTGAGTTTGAAGGTTACCTTTCCAGGGAATAAACAGCCCTTTTAGTGGGCAGAACAACAGGCAATTAGATGCTTGCCTTTGGGTAAGTAACTTGTATGAGCTAATGAAAAGTGCTGCTCTTCCTTTTTCATAAATTCTGAAAAATAAAGTACAGAAAAACAGACAGGAGAGTGATCATCTTGTTGGTAGGAACTTTGCCAAATCTTTTAAAGTTTCCTTTGTCATATATGAAGAACAACAATGTTTTACTACCTTGTGAGATGGAAAATTAATTTTCAGTTCTAACTAAAAATTCTCACAGGCAGTTTTTAGACCACCTGATGGATGAACAAAAAAGTCATGGAATGATTTTGCTTGTGAAAAGCAAATGCAAAGCTCTTAAATTTTTGGGGGGCTTTTGTTTGGTGGTGTTTTGTTTAGTTTTTTTTTTGTTTGTTTGTTTGTGCTAGGTCCTATAAAATTACCATGGTAACAAAGTTGTTCAACAGAGCAAATAGTAGAGCTGTTGCAACACTAAGTCTAAGTTGGAGTTTATGGTGCTATATGTAAGTAAAGTTATCCTCAATATTTACATCTTGTCTTGAAATGCATTGAAAGCCTGTAACTTCCGGAGAACACATTTAAGGTGAATTTAAGGGCTAAGTACCAGCAGAGTATTTGTGACAGATGAGAAATTCTGGAATGAGTCTCATGCTGGATCTTGTATATGCAGATCCTGTCTCAGAGTTGATAGAGAGTATGCTATTAGAGCTTACAGCTTTTAATATGAAACTTCTTTTAGAAGTTAGCATTGGCTGAGAACTTCAGTACTAGTAAGGCATAAATTTGAAGGAATTGTGACTATTCAATGGCTTCAAATAATGTCTGTGGGATAGAGAACGGCAGCCATGGCTGATTTTTACCCCTTTTTAGGTGGAGGTGACTACCTGACAGGCTTGTGAACTGCCTGAAGATATTAGTCTCTACTTCGAGATTTCCCAAGGTCTGCACTAAAGAACTTCCAAGGAGAACCATTATAGCTGTACAGGTCTGCTGACTTCCATAATTGAGTTGGCAGAAACAAAACTTTAGCTGCACCTGGATTTAACTTGGCTCAATTTTTGTAGTCAATAGCTTAAATAGTTTGAGAAGTATTAAAGCTGGATGCTCTCTTGAAATGGAAGTGCAGTATTTGTGCTAGAAGGGGTCCTGTTTCCAGCTGCATGCTAGAGTGCTTTTTGCCACCCTGCTTTAGTAATTTTTGGCATTTGGTAGATGCTTGTGGTATCCTAACACAAATTTCAAAACTGGTAGAAGTTTTCTTTGACTCATTGAGGTGCTGAGGTTGTAAAGGGAACCCTGGAGATAATCTAATACACTATACTGCCTGTTCACAACAGCTTATTTATGCCAGTCTTCAGCTGGATTCTGAGTCTCTCCAAGAACAGAGACCCTCCTATGTCTTTGAGTAGCCTGTTCCAGTTTTTGAATGCAGGCATAGTGGAAGTTCCCATTTAAGCGGAAAAATTCTATATTTCAGTTTGCTCATTTTCTTTTTATCCTTTCCTTGGGCACCACTGAGAAGCCTGCCACAGTCTTCGGTACCATACAAGTATTTATACACATGGATAAGACCCCTCCCAAAGTTTGTTTGTTTGCTTGTTTTTTTTGTTTTGTTGTTGGGTTTTTTTGTTTTTTTGTTTTTTGTTTTTTTTTTTTACCAGGCTGAATGGTCTCCAGTGGGTGTGTGTTTTGTACTGGGGAGCTCAGGACTGGATATGGCACTCAAATTATGAAGTGCTGGTGAGACCATGTTGAGTTAAGGGGAAGATTACTTTCCTCCATCTGGTGGTGACATTCTTCCTAATGTCAAGGTGGTGTTGGCCACCTGTGCTGTGAAATTGTGTCTTTGTGATGGTCTTCTGTCAGTGCGGCAAGTTAAGGTGACCCAGCTCAAAGTTTAGCAAATACTGAAGGTGGTGCAAAGAAGAGTTTTAATATGATGGGTAGGTGGTGGAGAGGGGGGAAGTGGAACTCCCCTTTACATCAGATACGACTTGCCTCTTAATGCTCACTGAGGAAGGCATTTCAGCATCTGACTGCTGTGGTCAAGTAAATAAGATTCTGGCTTTTCTTCTGTTATTGGTGTGGAATGCTGATGTGCTTTATGGTCTGCTTCTCAGGTGCTTACAGTTAGAAGTGAGTAGTTATGTCTGAATATTTTAGCTATACTTACGCAGTTTTGACCTCACAGGCAAAAGCCATGTATTTAATCTTTAACTTGGAAGCACCATCGAGCTCTGTACTTTTGCCTGTGCCATGAGAGTCAAGAATAAATCATGGGGTAGAGGAGAATTGAATGTAGAAGCAACTCCTGTGGTATACTTCACATGCTGATCTTCAACTTCAGGGATTGAACTTATCTAAAGACCAAGTAGTAAAGAAAAATCTGACCTAATCATATTTCTTGGATGAGGTTGAAAATGGAAAGCATTTCCACAGAAATAACTGAGCAAGATCAGCTGAGTCTTTAATACCCAGTTACACTTAATACTGCTCATAGTATGCTGTACTTGCTTTTCAGTATCAGAACAGCATCAGCCTTGCTGATAGATTTTCTTGCTGATAGACTTTTTTTTTTTTTTTTTTTTTTTTTGTCACTCACCTGCTTGAAATGGAGTAGTTTTCAACAGGAAAAGGGAGTAGGAGAGAATGGCCTAGTGACGGCTGGCTGGGGAGTCCTGAAGGCTGAAACCGCAGGAAGTGAACAGGCTTGCATGATTGCTCTAAATATTTCCTCTTTTTGCCACCATTGAGAGTACAGTACTGGGCTTAATTAGCCATTGGACTGATGTTAATTGCTGTCATTTTTAGAGGATTGTTACATTTTTCCGAAAATTGTATTGAGAATTGTAGAAATGTAAGGATATTTTATTAGCAAAGGCTTTCAGAAATATACCATATTATATTATTCCACTAGTTTAATAACCAGTCTTCTAAGACGGTATAGGGCTTGAGCTGTTGGAGTTCTGTGTGAAAAGCATTAATTTGATATGATCTGGAATGAGACTAAACCATGGGAATCAGTCTTTAACACACTTCTACAGATAATGTAGGACTAGCTAGATAGGTATTTCTTGTAGCTTGCTAGTCAGCTCTTAGATAAGTTTTAATTAGTTTAGCAGTATTATCTGAAGCTAACTTTTATCTTGCTAATTTGAAAATATCTTTGGTCAGATGTGGCTTGGCTTTTCAAAGTAAAGACTGGGAGCTTTTCTTCAAGAAGCTGAATGGCATTTTCTAATACTTGACTGACTTTCCTTCGAAGTTGATTTTGGCTATTCAGATAATTTCTGAAAAAAGTAACTATTGCTACCAAATAAGCTTTCAGTGAGTTGAAGCATTTTGGTTTGATAGTTGAGGGAAGAATATACAAAAGGAGGTGGGTAATATTTAGCTTCAAATTACTAAGGAGTTGGCTTGACATAAGATGTTTTAGTGGGGTCTTTAAAAGGCTTGATCCTTCATCATGGCCTGCTTTACTCCATTTTCCATAGGATTCAACACTTTACTACATGGGTTGCAAAAATTCTAGGTTAAACTCTTTACAGTTTTCTTGAAAATTTTGCTTCCTTATTGTGTGCAGTTCAGATGTTGTGCTATGAATGGCTTTTTCCAAACCTGGTAATAGCTGTACAAACTACACGTCAATTTAGCAGCCTCAGTCTAATTAAGACAATTCAACAAAAAGTTCAGTTCATAATTGTAGCTGATTGTCAGTAACCATTGAGTAGTCCTCTGCTAATATACTGTCACAGATCAGAGAAACTTGGAAAACTGGACATTAATATGAAGAATTACAGGAAAGTGCCAGGAAACAGTTTTCAGAAAGGAAAGTATAGTTTTAGAATATGATGATAAAGCATATTATGTAAAGCACATTGATATCCATTAGCTATGTATTCAGTAATGCAAGCAGCTTAAACAAACAAAAAAAAAAACCAACAAACAAAACAAACTCCATCCTAAACCAACTTAATTTTAGTGTCAGAAGCCTGAGCTGATCTCTTAAGATTCAATTAAGTTACTCCTGCAACAGCATTTAGGTAGTATAAATTTTTAATTGCTGTGGTAGTAAATGGTTGACATATTTCACACAGTTCATATATTCTTTTGAATGCAAGTATCTCTTTATTCCCTTGGAAGAAATGTGGATCAGTGTCTATGTAATGAGGTATGGGTACGTCTAATATGAATAAGGTATGCTGAAGTTACTATAGTAAAGCTTGGAAGTGAGGATGTTTTCTGTGCTTGCAGTGACTGCTATGGGCTGATTATTCTGATACGTGATTAATGATGCATGTAACTTGCCTACTTTACTAGCACAGTACATACAGCCTGGATTTAGGACTGCTCTAAAAAAGGCAGATTTCGGAAAGCATTTACAATACTGAAGCAGTTTGAGTACTGCTCTAGAAGGTCTATGAATGCTGCATTTCAGAGTTTGAAGTTTTAAAATGTCTTGGAGCCCTGAATTTATGCTTTTGGCAAAGGTCAGAAAGTTTATGAGGAACTTGTTCTGTGTGTTACACTGCCATACTACCTGAGCACTCTAAACAATAAATGCCTCTAATACCTTGAAATGTTTTTGCAAAGAGTGACTTCTGTTTAGAAATAGCTTCTTGCTCACATTTAGGTTCTAGGTGTTGATACTTTATTTGGCTTTTACACCACCTTCAGTAAAAATGCTGACGTAGATTTCTTTGAAGCACATGCATACTGCATTAGCCAAGGTAAGAGGCCGCAAACTTAAGTTAGGGATTACCATATTGGTTAGTGGAGGACAGGCACTAATTAGTTATGCGAAATAAGGCAAAGATTAAAAATAGCAGGAGATAACAGGGTTAGTGTCTTGGGTATCTTTACTTACCCACTTGCACAAGTGGTCTTGGTTGTGTTGTACTTCTAAGATTTTGAAGGCTGGGTTAACTGTTCTAGAATACCTTTCTTGTGGGGTACAAATACTGTAACAAACTGCTTGACAGTTTTTAGCTTCTGAATAGACTTCTGAAATGCTCATAGTGTAAGATACTTTGAAGTATTGAAGGATTTTGCTATATAAATGTATGTAACACCTTATAACACCAAGAGCTGAAGATTTAATCTTAAAATTCTTAATCTGAAATTAGTCTCTTCACTTCATATCACTGACTACTCAGTCCTGTTGACTTTGACTAGCTTTCTTAATGTCTTCAAACTTGCTGGTTAGTATTTGTGAAGACTTGTGTTAGTTTAACCTTTCACTTATGTTAAACTAGCTGGTTTAAAGTCTCCTAAGATCACCCGTACATATGACAGTGTGGCTGTTTCAATTTAGTGGCTGTTGCAATGTCTGTTGCAATCTTCAATTAGTCCTTCCTTTTAAAAAGAGATGTTGAACAAGCTGTAGCAATATAACATCATTTTATTTTGTGAATTGAGATCATCAATTACAAAACAATGCTTTCTATCTATAATGTAATTAATAGTAGAACATCCTCTGAAATGGAATCCAGTGGTCAAACTGGCACTAAATTTGTTGTATTTTTATATATACCTTTTCTAGAAACAGCTTCTGTTATTTAGTGGTGTAAGTTGCTATCCCCTATGCCACCTCTGCCTCAGTGTACTTGTCCTGTAGATCATCTGCATGCAGATGACTCCTTCTAGTCTATCACTGCTGAACTGAAGCATAAACTGAAACCCTTAGTCTGAAAGGATAATTCTGTAAGTCCTTTGGAGTTCACAAAAAAAGTAATAGCTCATATGCTGGCTAGTAAATTTTATTTCCTTTTCAATGCTTGAAATTAGTAAGAGCTACAATGAGAGTAAACTAATGTTTGTTTCTTTCCTTTGAATGACTGTGCATAAATGAAGTATCAATGTAACTTTGTCTCTTCATTTAATTAAATTATTTCTCCTAGCTTTGTACTCCATCATACTGTTCTGTGTCTTTCTGTGGATTCCCTTTGTCTATTTCTATTATGAGGAGAAGGAAGAAGATGATGGCAACACATGCTCAGTAAGTTCATTCTGGCAAATGCACCAAGCAATGAAAAGACAAATGAAAACAGACAAAAACAAGAGCAAGAATGATTGATTGTCTAACTTGGGTACTGCAGTGTTAATTTCTATTACTACAGTTCCTTTAAAATACCAAGGCAGCTCTTAACACTTAGTCTGACATAGTGTACTCTAAGCTCTGTGGTCTCACAGGAAATGAAACTTTAGTGAGATAAGTGATTAACATCTGTATTGCCATGAATTCTTCCTGTGAATTCCTTTGAGCCTAATTTAATATACAAGAAGTTAAAGCTTCTTGCATGAGATTTTTCTTGGAATAGAAAATGTATTTCAACAGGTTTTATAGTACAGGACAGGAAGATTATACTGATTCTGAGAGAGACACTAAATTTGAGTATGTTCCTTCCAGTGTTTGCATTTTTTTCTTGAAGTAGGCAGTAGTAATTTACCTGTAGCTAGTACTTGGGTTTTTGTAATGCACTGAAAACTTTTGACATGCATGACATTCCAGGGAATGCAATAAATGCATGCCAGTAAGGTGCTAACTTCTCAAATGAAAATACTTTAAGAGTCTTTTAATCCTTGATCATGATCATTTTCCCCTCTATTCATTTGTAACCTTAAAGTGAGAAAAAGGCTTCTAATCCCAGTCATACTATAAAGCATTGGTAATAAGAATTTTCTTTGAATTTATTTGCACTAAATGAATGTACTGTAGCTACTGGCCACAGCTGCTCAGGTGCATAGTTTGTGATGGAAGCATAAGTTGATGTCACTGTTCATAGTTCTAAAACTATGAGACTCTTCAAGAATGTCTACTTATGACTTGTGTTTAAAACTACTCATATTTTCTGTGTAAGTAATTGTGTAGAACACCTGTGGCACTAAGTATGCTTTGCCGTAACTTGCTAGACAAGTTCCTTTGAATGTATTTTGTGTTAATATATCAACTTTTTTTAATATACAGCAGGTTAAAACTGCACTCAGATATACTTTGGGATTCATCACAATTTGTGCAGTTCTTCTCTTAATTGGGTAAGTATTTGTATTGAATGTTAATGGGATATGTTAAATGGGCCCCCAAACATAACTGTTTTTTGCAGATTTAGAAACGGGAGACTATGGTGTATTCAGTTGGAGATACTTGTGCTTCCAAGCTCTGCCTGTTTGTTGAGTGTGAACATCCATCAAGAACATGATGACTTTTACTCTGTTATCTGACTGAGATATCAATACAGTTGTAAAATACTTGTGCTCTTCCTATTTTTTGCCTCTATCAAATGCCTTCATGGACATCCTAAACCAGCTTTTAGGAACATGAGTAGGTTTTATGTGCTTAGTACTTTCCTAAATAGAAGTGTTCTGTGAAGGACGCAAGTACAGTGTGGGATTATACTTGAAATAGTTGCACCTTGTATGATGAAAGTTTTTCTGGTATTTGTTTGAAAGGCAGACATTTCTCAAGTGCTAACTTGTTTGCAGCAAGTGCTGCTATTGTGAAACTCCAAGCAGTGTTACAAATTCAATTTAAGTTCTCCATTAAGCGTGACATGCACACCAATATTCAATGTTTCTAATGCATGCTGTGTCATAAGCTTTTTAGCATTTTGACTGCAGCAGTAAAGTTGGTAAAATTTACAAAATGTGTGCTAAAATTACCCTATTGAAGTACTGGAATGTAGGCACTAGAGTGAAATTAATGTCTCTAATTGTATTCCACCTTATGGGAATATTGTTTTGGTTATGATAAACACTTTGGGTACACTTCTAAGAAGTCTATTGTCTTTTCAATTAAAAATAACATTTGCTATTAAAAGAGACTAAAGGAGTTTGAGCTAGCTTAATCACAGTCTAGAAATACTAAGAAAGCTTCTGGCAAAAGCTGTTTCATTGACTGTTGGCTCACAACATAGGCAGACATATATGTCCTCTGTAATATATCCAGTTCAGAAAATGTTGTATCTTTAGTAGGTGTTAGCTGAGCCCCCAGTAGCTGTAAGCATGTTTGTTCTTCTCTTCTGGTAAGATTGAACGTTGGTTCTTGACTTCCTAATTGTCTTCTGTGCTCTTAGGTTTGTTCCTTCAAGGCTTCACAGCTTGTAAATTACAGCATCTTTGTGGTCCCCTCTAATACGACAATGACATTGACTTGCAAACCAGACAGTACATGATCTGGGACAAAGTTACTGAACAGTGTTTCTCCATAGGTAGAGACTTAAAATCCACTGATCTAAACATCAGGACTATCTGCTGCAGGAGGCAGATCTCCTTTAGATACTGATGGAATTTTAGTATTTCTGGGTTCTGACTGGAGCAATCTTTCTGCTGTTACACATATGAGGCTGCTTGCTTTCTTTTAAGATGGTAATGATCAAGTAGTAGCATCATCCTAATGCCCTTGAAATGTACTTAAGATGCTGCTGCAGAAGATGATAGTTCTTGTCTGTCTTCTTTAAAGGGAAACTACAAGACTAAACAGCTCAGTTTAGAAAGCAAATGAGGTGAGTGTGCTGAAGAAAAATGTGAACTTTAGTCCTAGTGTGTGTGTGTGTGTGTGTATGTAAATAAAAAGAGCGGATGTTTCAGTGTTAGGTACATGCTTGTTGTGGAGAAGTTACCTGTCTTAGAGTTAGTAAACTGCAAAGGAAGGACAAAGAGCAACCTCACAAGTGTGATACGAAAGAGATAAAAGTGTTGGAGCTGAAGCTTCTATGAGGAGCTCAGCTGAACTTGGTAGTGAAGACAAATCTTGCAGTACTGCCTATACCTGGCAGTAGCAGATTTTCTTCACTGGTGGTCCGGATCAGAGCAACATTAAAACAGACTGGAATGCTGTGTACTGAATTTAATTTTACAAGGCAGGGTTTAATGGACTAGAATACTCATGTACACAAATTAAAAGAGCAAGAGGGGTTGAGATATTTCCTGTTAATTGCATAAAAGCCTGTCCTCTTGTGCTTAACTGACTAATGTCTTGTATCAAGGCAGTCTGTTCAGATAGATTTAGCAAGTAACCTGTATAATAAAAACAGTTTTATAAATAGCTTGGTTCTGTTAAAGATAGGTAGATCTATCTTTAGAAGAAGTACCTACCTCTGTTCTGGTCAGCAGTCCTCAAAGAAACCATAAAAGCTGTATTAAGCTTGAAGTTTTAGATGTTTAATGAACTCCATTAGAGATCTATGACTATTTTGGGAATTGTACCTGGTTTGTGTCTTGTGATCTTGGAATTCTTCTGAGTTGATAACACAACTCAATGAACAGGATTCTTTTGTCTAAATTGTTAAGCAAGAGTAGTGTTTATATCTCTTACTCTAATTGTTACAAAGCCTCTTCCTGTGGAAAAAATGTGCATATCTTTAATAGCACTTAAATAACCTTTGCATAAATAACTTGATGCAGAGCATCATTAAAAGCAGAGTATAGGACAGATATACACCGGAATACTCAGAACTAATACTTGTAATACTTTTCCCTTTTTAGAAATTATCTGCTTTCGTTGAATGTAGTTTATTTACTCTAAATGTCATGTGGTGGAGCCAAGGGGCTTGAGATGCTACAATCTTCATTAAGGCACACTTATACAGCAGTCTGGTTTGAAGTAAAATGTTTGCTTTTGAGGCTAATGAATGTTTGGTTTTAAAAGGAATATTTTCCTGACACTCAGTGTTTGGAATTAAACTGGTTACCTTAGATTTTCTGGAACCATTAGCTTTTAAAAAGCTATGAATATGTCTAATTAGCCTATAAATAGTTATGCAAATTATAGCAGAACTCACTTTAAGGAAATGAGTTTAATTTATTAGAAATTATTTTCTGAGGGATGACAATTAATGGCACTCGTGATTTAAGGATCAGACTTGACCTATCTACACCTGTGTGTATTTTTAGGTCTGCTAAAAGTTCATAGCTTTAAACTGCATGTCTTGCATTTACTTGTTCTGCAGCCTAGATATTGATCTAGATCTTAATCATAATATTCCCAGGATGTGTTTTAAACAGCACAGCAGTTTGCTTCTATTCTTAAAATTACAGCAGTTAATGATTTAATTTGTGTACAGAACTCCAAATGTAAGACATCACAGCTGAGCTGTTCTGTTCGCTTGCTTTTACTGAGTTCAGCTACACCTCTAAAACCCTGCACTGGCACTGGTCCTCTATTTACTTGCTGTCGTTGGACTACTTGTTTTGCATAACAGTGACAGGTGAATTGAGTTATTTAGCATGAAGACTTTATCACTGTGGTGATGGCTACTATGGCCCTTGGGCTCCATTGACCATTTAGTCAACATAATAAGACTTCTCTCAAATTTCTTCTTGCTTAGTGTGCATGAAGAGTAGACTTAAACTGCTGTGTGCTGATCTGGTACAGTGGATGGGCTGTGTTTTTAGAGATCCTTTGGGAGTGTGGACTGGATGCTGTTCTGTAGATGGCTAGGCATGCTACCTTTGTTTCATTCTTGTGGCCTGTCAAGGTAGAGGCCAAAAGTCTGTTCAAGTGGCTTGGTTAGCCTTCTGGCTAGTTTGCTACTAACTGTATGACCCTGTTCAGGAGAGAAAGTAAGATTCCTGCTTGCTTGGGACTAAACTATATGACTCTATAGCTCCTACATTCCATTCTGAGGCCTTTGGTACTTGAGCTAGGAGCAGAATCAGATGTCCATCTCCTTCAACCATGATTTAGCCAAGTACTAATTGCAGAGTGTTTCTAATGGGTACAGTAGCTTCTGCTCTGATTAGTGTCCTTTGACACGATGGTTGTAGATAGTCTCAGCAAGAAAACCCAAACAGAAAAAAATCACTATTGCTCTTGAAGGTTGGGGCGGGGGGGGGTGGGGGAAAGGCATGCAAGTTGTAAATATCCTAAGACATTCTTAAATCTCACTTGTTCCTTTGCATGTGGTTGAGATAGAAAATTCATACTGATACTAAAATAAAAGGACTTGTGCTCACTTGATTTCCCAGTCTCTCATTTTAACCCTTTTAGCAAATAAACCTGCAACTATTTTTGCTGCTAGCTCTTGGAAGTAGAAATTTTGCCTAATTTCATTACCTGTGTCTTGATTTTTGCCTGGATGCTATTTTACAGAAAGAATTACTACTACAGGCAGATACAAGAACAAAAATCTAAAGTCAGTAAGCATGCATCAATTTAAATGCTAGCCTTAATTTTTTTGTACAGTCCAGAAGCTAAAAATCAAACATTGTTTTAAATATTGCAATTTTTAAAAAATTATCTTTGCAGAATGCTACTTTGGTTTTGGTATTTATGTGGTGATTATAAGTGCACACAGTTTAGCACCAGCATTTGAAACACATGCTGATGTTCTGTACTTGAAGTTTGAGGCATACTCCTGGAAAACGCGTATTTGTTATTAATTTGTTTGTTGGGACTCAAAGCGGGGATCTAGTTATATACTTTTATACTCTGCTGATGGGAAGGTCTAAAATATTTAATGAATTACTCTGCACTTCAGTTCTCTTGGCCAACTACATTACAAGGAATGGCATGCAGTAGATGTGCTGTTGTTTTAGTTGTAATAATGGAAGATAAACATGTTCCTTTAAACTTTAATGCCTGATGTGGGAGTCATTAATTGTAATGTTCTAACTTCCAGAACTGTAGATTTAAGAGAAATTGTCTCAATTGAGGGGGAAGGAAAAAAAACCCAAACTTGAGTATTCTCTGTGTGTGAGTCAAACCAGGATAGTAAATAAGAAAAATGGATCTCTTGATGCTTGAGTGTAGTGTCCTTAGCTCTAGTAGGACTGGTAAATAGAAAATCACTTGTTCATGGACCTCGGCCCTGACTCCCCAAACTCACACACATGCTGGTCTAAATACAGCATTTAAGGGGAAAGTGAATAAGATGAAAGACTGCCTTCAGATTTTCTGGTTTTTTTTGTTTTTTCTTTCTTTTTTAACCTTGTGTCATACAGTTTTGCTTCAGGAATAAATGGATTTCTATTTTCTTGACTTGGAAGTAGATTTTTCTTTCTATATTTGATGAATTAGGTTGAGATGACTTCTTTACTTTGTTACAGTGCCTTTGTTCCTTTGGATATTCCCAACAAGAAGAATTCCACAGAGTGGGAGAAAGTGAAGCTTCTGTTTGAGGAATTTGGAAGTAGTCGTAAGTTTGAGATTTGTTCTGAGCTTTGCATAACTTGCCGCTAACTTATTTTGCTATACTCATCATTGACTGAACAAGAAGTCTAACATTCTTGGTGACAATTTTCTAACTTGACTGTTAACTGCTCACCTACACTAAATCTTTGCAATAAGATTGTTCACTTTCTGTTCAGACAAAAGAAAAAACAATCAGGACAGTCTTTAAAGTACAGAGAAGAGATTGGCAGTGTCTGCCTTCAGTACAGTCCCCATTTGACAGCAAGGATTCCAGTGTTGTGTCCAATGATATTAGTGGTGGGGAGGGGAGGGTACTTTATACCATGGAGTCTTCACTTGACACAGCTTTTAAGTGTTACTTGGATGCTGAAGTTCACTGATTTCAGGATATGGTGACAAGTTTTCAAGTGCTTATCTAATTAAATGTAATATTGCTGTTCACTGCAAGAATGAGACTGTTTAAGTGGCTTTGTCTATTTAGACAGGTAAATTGTATGGGTGTTATGATTTTATTTTTTTTACCCTTTCTTCTCCTAGTATTGACCTTTAATTGTTTTGGTTGCGTTGTATTTGTTTATGCTAGGGCTATAACGAACTATTGCAAAAGTTAAATACTACTTCATGGAATTTGGCCTTCAGCTTATGCAGTTCATGTATTTAGACAGAATGTGTTTTCAGAGCAAAGGCATGAAGAAACTGTTTTATAGATGAGCCAAGACAGATTTGATGTCACTCTCTAAATGTATCCACAAAAATGGTAACTAAAAGTTACCTAACAAACCTTAATCCAGATGCATAAGTACTGTAATATTTGTGCGTCATTCTTGGTGTATGTCAGAGTGTTGGCTTCTGTCTGAATATTTTAGAATGTAATGCTGTGAGCCTTGGTCAAGAAGTATTCTGCATTATTCTAGGAGTTTTGTACTGAAATTGGTGGGCCCTGAAGGGATATGCCAACTTTGTATGTCCAGTTTCCTTAAGTATTTTCTAACTTGATCCTCTTCCACCAAGCATGCATCTTCCTTCCAGCTTTTCTTCCTGGTGTCTCAGGCCTGGGTTTCCTGAAATCTGGTCTTGCTAGTGAAGGCTGAGGCAAAGAAAGCATTTAGTATCTCAGACTTCCCATGTCCTGTTTCCCCTGCCCCACTCAGCAGCAGACCCACATTTTTGCCTTGTCTTCCTTTTGCCACTTAAGTACTTGAAGAAGCCCTTCTTTGTTGCCTTTGACATCCTTGCAGAGTCTTTCATCATAATACATGCTGTGCTGTAAGCTGTGTTTGCAAGCATAGGAGATGGGAAAGACAAGTCAATAGCTTTTTCATAATTTTGGCTGTCTGCTTGTTTGTTTCTCTTTTTTCATGAAGATTCTAACTGACAGCATAGAATAAAATGCTTCTTAAACTGTTTATACAGATAGTGGCAGTGGTTCAGCTGAGATGAAAGCTAATTTTTCTAGGCTACCTTGATATGGCTGTTAAATATTCAGCTCTGTACATGTCTTTGCTATGAAAATGTAGCATAGCTAATGTTTATTTCTATGAATCATAGAATCACAGAATGGTTTGGGTTGGAAAGAACCTGAAAATCATCTAGTTCCAACCCTGCTGCCATGTGCAGGGACAGCACCCACTAGACCAGGTTGCTCAAGGTCCTATCCAACCTGTCCTTGAACACTGCCAGGGATGGGGCAGCCACAAATTACTTGGACAGCCTGTGCCAGTGACTCACCACTCTCACAGTAAAGAATTTATTCCTTATATCTATCTTAGGAATCATGAGGATGCTGGATTGGGTTGTGGTTTTGATTTCTGACTTTACCAGCATTCTCTTGTGACTTAGACTGAAGAGACCTCAGGTCATCAATTCCAATCTCCTGCACAAAGAAGGAAGCTGTAATGTTAGACCAGGTTGCTCAGGGCTTTACCAGCTAGCTCTTGAAAAACCTCTAAGGTTGGAGACTTTCATTTTGTGGTGGAAAAAAAATTCTCACCCAGTGTGAGTGTGGACAGTGTCACCCATTGTCTCACACTCAACTACCGTGTACTACTGGGGAGGCTGGATTCTACCTCTTAGATAGGCAGGCTATATTGGGTCTCTCCAAAGCTGTCTCTGTTCCACGCTGAATAAGCCTGGCTCCCTCAAGTTTTCTGCACAGTATGTGCTCCAACTTCTGACCAACTTACCTGTTTACCAAGACACCCCACCAGGGTTTTTGTAGAGCTACTCCACAGCCAGCAAGTTCTCTGTCAGTAGGGCTTACAGGAAGTTCTTTCATGTTTCAGATGTTGGAGAATTGAGGAAAAAATTCTTGCCTGTTGTTTTTACCTGTTATCCTGTTTTTATATTAGCTTACCCTTTTCATTTCTCTGCGGTTAAACCAGAAATAAAGATCTTAATTTTGGAGGTTTTTTTCTATGTCCATTTAGTTTGTAGTGGGAATACAAAAGGAATGCAAACTCATACACGGAGGTAGACCCTGATAATAAACTTCTAGTATATAGTTATACTTTTTACAGCCACTTGGTTTCTTAATGTTCCATTGAACATAGTTCAAACTTTTAAAATGGATATTAAATGTTGGTTTCAAATACAGGTACAGGAGGATCATCATATGGTGTTTAAGTACATTGTGTCATATGTTAGAAATAAGGGTCATTCATGTGTGGGGTTTTTTTTTTCCCCTAAACTTCAGAACATAAGTAAAATTTTCTCAAGTATTAAAGGGGGAATAGTGCTGGGATTTTTGTTTCATGAGGTTTCTTTTTTGGTTTGGGTTGACATTTTTGTTCTGTTTCTTTTGTTTTTGTTTTTATGTCCATCCCCATTTCCCCCCC